TAGCCAAATGCTTGGCTTGCAGTTGCAGCACTTTACAAATCGCTTTTCAGCAATAAAAAAAAAAGCTACAAAAAAACAAGCATTGAGGATGTGGCAGGATTAATTCTGGAATGGCTGACATTGGCTGCCTAACAACCACACTCTAAGGCTGCATTCACACTTAAACAATTTGTAGCTTGAAGCTCGAAGTTCCTAAAACACTCAAGCTTAAAAAAACAGTTGTTCTCCATGGTGCCTGGTAGGTAGTAGGGGGCGCGTCAATGAACAATACTGTGGAAGTATGGTAGCTGATGATGGATGGTGTGTAGGGAAGCAGTTATGGAGAGCACTTCTAAAGAGTGGAGACAAACTGTGCAGAAGAAGGTTAAACAGGAAGGCGCTTCTAAGTGCAGTATTCCAGGTCAACTTTAATAAAAAGCGGTTAAAAACACTTACAATGTAGTAGTACAAACAGGCTCTAATGTAATCCGTCAGTAGCAGGGCTCTGTCCTCTGAGCGATGGAGCCGCTGTGCCAGCCAGCAGCTGCATGGGGAGCTTGAGGAGAGGTGTTAAAGATGGCTGCTCCGTATTTACATCCAACTTGGTCTTTGGGAGGCGTGTACCTTCCTTCCCACTGAAAGCCCCTTTTCCCGTCTCTTTACCCTATTTAACTGGCTCTCCCTAAACCCGGATATTGGTCTTGAAGAAGGAGCTCTGCTCATGCTCCGAAACGCATCACCACTCCATGCTCACGTCACTTCCGGTCTGTGGACAATGTGCGTTCCAGCGTGTGCACCAGCGGTCCGAACAGAGCGGCTGCCATCTTAAATGCGCCTAAACATTGTACAAAAATGCTCTATATGAGTGTTTTTTTCTGGTAAGGGAACTGGAGGTTTTTTAAGCCCAGTGTGCATGGAGCCTAAAATGTTTCCAACCTGATTCTATGTCATTTCAAACTAAATTAATTGATTTAACTTTAAAATTGTTACAGTCAAGGTAATCTGTTATTAACTGTTACAGCTGCTTGTGCTTTCAGCCGAACTGGCAGGCCATCATATGGCTGGTGTCATAACTGATCACTTGGGCAGCACTATGGCAGCTGCAAAGTAAACAGAGGCTAAGATGGCAGCTTCCTCACCTGAGGTTATATGGGATTCATATTTTGCTCATATATTCAATAATCCATTCCCATCCAAGTTTACCATAATTCCCCTGGTGGTGGTCTTCCCGCGGGCAGGCTAGGGTTTTCCTTTGACTCACGAATATAATATTTATTTCTAAGTGCTATTGAATCTGGACCGTACAAGTGATTATTAAATATCCATATCTCTCAGATCTAAGGTCCTGAGGAAGTGGGTCATCCCATGAAACGCATCGGCCTGCAGTGTTAGATCTCTAAAGGACTAAATGGAAGACAAGCAACAGAATCAATGCCCTACATTATCTATGTTTATAATGGAAACTATGTTTTTAAACTATTGGAATAAAGTGTTATAACATTTTTTAATAAGTGTGTCAAGTGCATACTTGACCATTGGAAGGGTATTTAAAGTCCCATTATTCTGTGTCTTCTTACTATTACACCTCAGCTGTAAAGGATAGAAGGTTTGGTTCTGCTTAAAGCCAAAAAAAAAAGAAAAAGTATAGAATTGTATGCATTCTTTTTTGCTAGGTATGGGCTGTGTGGAGGAAAGTGTCAGCTGGCCTCACATTCATGAGTTTAAGAAAATGTCATCCACAGCAACTAAAGAGACTTTAGCTTTCACTGTCTAAACCTAGCCTTGGACATCAGAGGATGGTTGGACACGAGGCACACCATGACTGTGGGAAGATATAAGACGTTTATGCCATGGAGGGACAAAGAAGTACACAAACACTTCTGATGCCGACTTGTCCTGAGCAAAACAGTAGCAAGTTGAGAAGGTTTTAGAACCTGATCTGTCTTGTTCTGTCTTCAGGTTCCCACCAGCATGAAACCATCATCCAGCACTTTTCACACATCTCCATCCATATTCAGTAAAAAGTAGATGGAGCAAAATGAGGAAACCACAACAGCCCATCAGATCCCTTCTATCTCACTTCTGAAAATTGGAAATAAGGATTTATAGCCTCCCTCCCCCAGACTAGATCTGACCTTTTATTCCCCACTCTCCAGTCCATCCTGGTTAATAAGCAGTAATGTGCTTGTGACGTCAAATCTGCAACTGCCTGAGAGATCGTAACTGTGTTGCAGCACATTGCAAGTACTCCAATGGCTTTATAAATTGCTGCCTTTTCACAATGAATTTCTCCAACATTCACAGTTACCATAGAAATCATTTCAAGTGCCATGATACGCATCAACTGCCATTCAGCACAATGAATGTTTCTTGAAATTAGGAGCTTGGTGTTCTCTTCAGATAAATAGGTCCTATATTGTGGAAAAGTGACCATAGGTCCATAGATCACCACATGTGGCATATGGGTATTTACGGTGGATATTATTTTGATACGGAACGTAAAGTGGTTGTAAACCCTTGCATTAACCCTGTGAAGTGGCTGGCTTCAGGTGATACAGAGATAAAACAAATCCCCCTACATATGTTGTACCTGTTTATCTGCAGTCTTCTCTTCTAAACAGCCATTCAAAATGCAGAATTTATACAGCTTGTCTGAGCTTTCAGAAATCAGGGGCAGAGAGCTGAAATTACACTCTGCAGAGCTCAGTGAGGAGAGCTTTGAAGGGAAGGGGCACACAGCTCACAGGAACAGAGCTGAAGCTGTCGGTGTGCTGGAGAGTCTTCCCCGTCACCTTTTTTCTCCTGGTGTTTGGAAAACTTGTCAGAAGTGACCCATGCTGATAGCAGAGGAATGGGGCAGCAGACAGAAATTACACTTAGGGGATGATTTACTAAAACGGAAGAGTGCAAAATCTGGTGCAGTTGTTCATGATAGCCAATCATCTTCTAACTTCAACTTGTTTGAATACGCTTTGACAAAAAAAAAAAACTGGAAGCTGATTGGTGCACTCTCCAATTTTAGTACATCAACCCCTTAGTGATCTGGATACAGACAAGTACACACTATAGAGGGAGATGCTTTATTCATATTTCATGGCTGAGGTTTACTTCAACTTTGAAAGGAATTGATAAATGATATGCAGTGTGAGTGTCTGTGTCAGACTGTGACCAGTTTAATGTATATAATCTCATTAACATGTTTAGGTATTAAAAACCTTGTTTGTCTATATAAATGTCCATGGAGGTGGCCATACTTGTTCTTTATATATGCAGGCAGCCTTCTGATACATAGTGCAGCTTAGTGAGTGCAGTCTATAGATGGTTTACCCTGTCAATTATTTTTCTCCCAGGAGCTGTACAGCAATGATGCTGAATGACGGCCACTATCGGACTAGGAAATATAACCAGAAAATTATGCAATATCCAGCTCCTGCAATAAAGCCAGGCCCGGAGTGGAAGAAGAAGAAGCCTAGATGCAGGGCCAACATGACTGGGCTAAAAGGGGTTTGGCATAGTAGGAGTGGCTTGTGGATCAAATGAACAGGACTTTATGAGTACTCACCAGATTGGTTGATAGAGCTGTAGTAGGTGGGGCTTCAGGGATTTGGGATGAAGGAGGGTTTGCGTAGTCTTTAGTTGGAAGAAAGCTTGGCTGGGACAACTTCCCACCCTCCCTCCCTTGTTACTTTGCTTGTGTTGGTTTTTGTTTTTGATATATTACAGGTGCTGTGTCTTTTACGTCATGGCAGGTGTCAGGGTACAAGGTCCTTGAATGTGTCTTCATTATTGGCAAAAAGATACAGTTTTAGGGACCCGTCTGGGGTACGGCTCCCATTATTCTGGTTGGTGGTACCTGCAATGGTTGGTTTGTCTCCGAGTCTGTGTTTATGCGGCTGGAGGCCTAATTCTGGTGTTCGCAAGTACTTGAGGTAATTGACCAACAAGGACCTTGGGGACCCCTTTAATACTTTACTGAATGTTCATATGTTGATATGGTATTTTTATTTGGTTAAAAGGCTGCCATGGCCATTAAACTCCAATTGGTGTTATGTGTGGTTAATTAACTATCTGTAGTTGGTGTAGGGGTGGTCAAGCAGCATTGTCAAGGAATCTGTTTTACCCTAGTCATGTACAAGTGAAATTAGGAATTTCCAGGTGACCTGTAATTATATTCATAATTCAAAATGTGTCCTTAATGACATAAACTGCCTCTCACCTTATTGCATAATGCCCAACTGCCCTCTGAATGGAACATATTCAAGTGAAAGGGGCTGCACTGCAACCATGCACTATGCGGCACAGTAGTGTGGCAGTTAATGGATTAAAGCAGGCACCTCTTTGCTGCCTGTCAAATCCCTCTGAAAGTGATCCGAGTATGGATCGCTTTACAGAGTAGCAGCAGTCCTTGCTGGTAATGTATACAAGCCCGTAGGGTATCTATTGCTCTGCTCTGGAGCTCCATTGCGCAGCAGAAACCTGTGACTCAAACACTATGAACATGCTTACAGGATGGGAGAGCACAGGGATGATGTCATCAATGTGCTGCTGCTCCTCCACTGGCCAATCAGCAGGCTTTGGGTGTGTCCTGGACCAAGCTATACTCTTTACTTGCAGTGGAGGTCTAGGACCAAGCTGTGCTGTCTAGCTGGGCTGCCTGGATTACAAGACTGAAAACACTGCAAATGTTTTGGCAGGTAAAAGTCATATTTATGTGTTTGAATTGTGTATTTATCTGCCTGCCTTGGGTTCAGCTGTAAATGTAGAGTGAGCAATCAAGACAAGTACTCGTGTCACATAAAAGCCTTTTATTTACATGTTAATAGTTTGTTGGACTCAGCAGTGACATTCAGCAGTCACAGGCTCTCTGGAGACATGTATGAGCCTGACAAAAATGATTAGTGGCATCTCAAACCTTTTATGCACGGCCACAGCACGTTCCCACTGTCAGCGGCAGGATGGAGGCTGCACTGGTGAGATGCGAATCTGGAGCATAAAAAAAAGCAAAGTCCTCTTTTACCCTGCTATGAATATTTGGTGTTTGAGATCTTTTTCCAGAGCAGCGTCTTCAGGTTGTTGAGTATGAGTGAATGGTGGACTTCCATCTGACTGGCTAGGCCGCTGAGAGTCATACAAGTCCTCAGCTGCTTCTGCAGCTCCTCTTTCAAGTCTGACGGGGAGCCGTAGAGCAGGTAGTCCTGCATCAGTTTGCAGGCTTTGGCCAGGTTCGGCTGAATGACATCGTTTTTACACTGCTTCATGAGCTTGTCACAGGCTGCAGTACAGTCTCTTCCATATGTGCAGTCCGAGTTCTGTTCACAGTGCCGGCCTTTGAGGAAGTCTTTGATTGTCATCTCAGTGGCCACCTTCCGCAGGTCCACCACCTTAAAGTCATACTTATCGTTGTAGCCGATATTTTTGAAGCTTGTTTCACAGACGAAGAAGCTGCCGTATGTCCCGTGAAAAATCTCCTCCACAAATTCCAGCATGCCAATGGCGATCTTGGCCCTCCTAGGCCAGGCAGGAGCAAACCACTGATGAACCATGGTGTGGATGGGGGAGGGCAAGAGGGTCTGCAGGAAAGTGGGGATCTGAGTGCCGTATAGGGAATCATGGGGGATTTTCTCAGTAATGTAGAGGTCTCCACAGTACCCCAGTAGCTGTGACGTATGTTCTTTCTCATGCAGCGATAACATGAGAAGGAACTCGTTTAGCTGCAGTAGCGCCCAGATGGATTTGGCTTCTGCCAGAGAAACTTTCCCGTCTCCGTTGACATCTGCCATGGCTAATATACGTCCGACCAAAACCATCAAGGATGTTTGATCTCCCAGCTTTGCCTGTATGAAGGATAAAGAGACAAAAGCAATGCATTTATATGTTAGCATGTAGTTTTTCTACTAAATAAAATATGCTAGCTGGTGCAACATATAGTTACAGGGAAACAAATATATATTTTTTAAGACTAGTGCATTCTTTACAAGTGGGCACCATGATGGTATTTATGAGCATATTCAGCTCCACTTCTGCCGATGTCACCAACCTGGAACTAGAAACTGTCTGAAAGCCATTGACTTTGGTGATATGCATCCAGCCTGTGAAGCTCAGCCAGCTGTGTGCTCATCTGCTGCCCAGTTTGTTTGGTTAATCTGCATTTATATGGCAGCTACCCATTGTGAGGGAGGCCACATGTCTATACCAATCCAAAATAACAGCTTCTTGCAACTTGTGCTGTTTTCCTGGTCTTTTCTGAGAGGGGCCCCATAGCTTGTTATCAAGGCCGGTGTCTTGGCATCCTGTCCAGTCTAGAACACACCACTGCCATCAGTAGGTGGAGCTGCCCTTTAAAGCCCATCTCTGAGGAAAGGAATAATGTGCCCTTGCAGTGAGGTTGTCCTTGCACTGCACGGAATAACGTCCTGTTTAGGCAGCAAAAAGCATTTTTACTTACCCAATTCTCTCCCCCAACAGATGGCACTTTCCTCTACTACCCTATGTTCCAGTGGTGTACGGTCCCTTGGAGTTCTCACATCCACAGCAAGGCTATGGGCTCTGCATTAGACTTGAGAACATCAGAATGCCTATGGCCACTGCAACACAGAGGAGAACAGACTGCAAAGCCTGGCCTTACTGCTTGGAGGGAGCTTGTGGGAATGGATCAGATTAGCAAACCTGCTTTTTGTGGTCCCCTGGACCTACAGTAAATAAGCATTTAACCCTTGCAGTGTAAGGGCAGCCCTATTGCAAGGAAGCATTTTTTCCTTTCCCTGGCATTCACCTTTAAGCTAAGTAGAGCGGCCTTAAGGACTATATGAATATTTCTTTATATATCAGCCTGATGGACTAATCTAGCATTTATGTACAGGATTCCCTGCCCCTTATTATAATAAATTACAACTCTTCATTTTTTTTACATTCAGGTTTTGCATGATAAAGAAATCTTTCTAGTTTGGAGCACCGCCTAAAATATATTTAAACATTTCCTGCTTTTTCCTACAGGTCCCCCAGCTGTGCAGTGTGGGTTCCTCTTTCCAAAGTGGCTGAAATGAAAACTGTTTGTATTGCCCACAGCAACAAATCACATACAGCTATTCATTCTTCATCAGCCATTTTCCTTTGTAGGGTTTCATTGGGTTGTGCTAAGCAATTCTGTTTTTTATTTAGTATAGAACGATACCTAAGGTCCAGTGGTGAGAAAGTCAGCATTAGCAATGTCAGTATGACATCATCACAGAGCAGACATTTCAGTCTAAGAAAAATGTCACGATTCAGACATTGTAGGGTTGGTTTATTATAACTGGAGAGTGCAAAATCTGGTGAAGCTGTGCATTGTAGCCAATCAGCTTCTAACTTCAGCTTGTTCAGTTAAGCTTTTACAACAAAACCTAGAAGCTGATTGGTTTCTATGCAGTGCTGCACCAGATTTTGCACTCTGCAGTTTTAGTGAATCAACCTCTTTGTGTAGATAGTAATGACAATGCAATGTAGAGGACCCCAATACAGATCACTCTAAAAACCTCCCCGTTATTCTTGATATCTTTTCATAATTATGTTACAATGGAAAACCTTTTTCTATTCTAGTCTTTGTCAAACTGAGACATGCTTTAAAATTTAATTAAATATATATTTAACGCTAAAAACCTCCTGGTTAGATCAGGTCTTACTGCATGAATAAGAAAAGGGGATAGAGACTATATATATATATATATATATATATATGTATATATTTTTATATATTTACTACATATATATATGTATGGCAGAAGTTGATATCACAGGATTTATGTTAGCACACGATTGGTGCGCTGAAGTGAATGCAGCTTTCACTCATTTACTAAGGTCAGTAAACATTAAAGTTTGAACAGCCTCTACTTTCTGCAATAATCAGCCCCAATGTGTCACTCTTTACAAGTAAATAATAAGATGGGGTTGTTTTACTAAAGGAATAGAGGCTGTTTACCATGTAATATAAAAGTACACTTAGCAAAATATGCAAAAAATTAGCAAATAGCAAGTAAGAGGAGGCTGTGTTCACTTTTACTAACCATTCATTTGTGAGAGTAATTAAAAAAACAGGATTTTTGCAGTCATATGATTTGAAAGGCAAAGTGAACATAGCTTGGCCCTATTCATTAAAATTCACTTTCCTGAGAACTCCATGTCAGCACAGTTCACCACCCCCCCCCCATGCTTCCAGGACCTAACTCATAAATTTGAGCCCACCTGCAGCCTCAGTGTTCCTCTTTTGTCCTCCCATGTGCAGGACCTAGGTGTGCTCCTTTGCTTGGCTGGTCTAAAGGGCTGGCGGTCCATCCACGTGTGTGTATTTCAGCTGGACGTGGTCCCTGGTTTACCGGCTAAATGACCCATAATCCAGGGAGCCCTGCTGCTAGTACTCGGGGCGGCTTTTATCACGGCTAACAGCCTTGTCTGGGGGCTGCTGGGTCCATGTGAAGTGGGCAGTGGTGTCAGCAGAGTCTCCCTAAGGCACGCACACCCGCACAGTGCCAATGTTTACAGTTGGATGATGGAGGGTGGGTGAGCTGAATTTAAAAATGTTTGTTTTCCAAATGAACTGAGCATTGCTAGGTATTGTCGTGCCTTGCTCCCTGTAACTGCATACCCTGAGCTCCTCAAGAGTACTCTACCTAACAGTAATACTATGCCAACCCCCTCAAAAGACCAGCATTTCCAGAGAAGGTAGAGGAGTCATCTGTGGATGACTACTGTAGCCAGCATTGCCTGCTGGAATATAGGACATCCTATATCCTATATCTCATCCCATTTATATTTTGTTTTTGCTCACCAGTTTCTCAAAAAAAAAAGAAAAAAGAAAGAGAAGGTCTTTATGTCAACAATTCCCCTGGAAGGTTAGTGTACATTGCAGAACATTGTTGTAATTCTGTTGCAGATTCCTACCTTTTTTGTTGCTCTTCTTAAGAAAACATTTTCATTATCTCTTGCTCTCTGGCAGAGCAAAGTTTGGCTTACTAACCACTTGGTGAAATATGGATGTGGTTGGAAACTGCAGTATCAAGTCAAATCTATCAGTTATTAACCCTTTAGGGTTTGTTACTAAGCAAGCTATAGTCTACTTAATTAAATTATTATTATTATTATTATTTTAGCTGCTTTGTTAAACGGTAGACAAAACCCTGTGAAAGGATTATCTAGTCTGGCAACGAGTAGTCTCAGAGCTTTCCTAAGCTAGGCAACCCTCTTCAGACTTTTCAAAAAAAGAAGACGCAGATGAACATGACTGTAAGATGAACATGAATGTAGGTGTTTTATTTACCCTGTAAAGGGGTTATATGTTCTAGCAACGAGCAGTCTAATCGCCTTCCCAGGCAAAACAGCTTCTTCAGACTATCCAGAGGGGAACATGACAGCATGAATCTTGCCTTGTTCAAGCAACCAGAAATGAGGATGATGACACCTAACATGTTGTGACTTTCATTAAACAAGTGGCCAGTACACTCAAAGGAGTGGTTTCCACTCACCCTGTGAAATTGCTATATGTTTTGGCAATTAGAAGTCTCATAGCCATGCAAGGCAAGACAGCCTCCTCAGACTCTATGAACAGGAATATGCGGACAGACATGACTGTATGTATCCTGGTTTAAGCAGCCAGGGATGGAGATGAGGACACCTAACAAGATGTCACATTCAATAAATACATTGTCAACACACTCTAAAGGAGTGGTTTCCACTTACCCTTTGAAAGGGTTATCTGCTTTGCAGTGAGAAGCAGCCTAACCTTCCCAGGCGAAAGAGCCATCTTCAGAGTTTCCAAAGAGGATGATGCAGTTGGACATGACTGCATGAATACTGCTTTGTTCAAGCACCCATTAGGAGGGCCTTGTGAGTGGCAGCAGGCTGAGTGTTTCCAGACACAATTTGTAAGGAAGCTATGTGGGGGTCTATATATACCTTCATGGCTCATTACTGTAGAGAAACAGTCTTAATGACAGTTGCATTTGGCAGAGGCATCCTGGCTTCTGCTTTTTAGCCAGAATTGAATAGTGTGTAGCATTATCTCTCCCTTTTTTTGGCTAGTTAGTTCCCAGCTGTGCTGACATGGAGCTGTCAGGGAAACAGAAAATTGAATGAGGAGCTCCATGTCAGCACAATTCTCACCCAGCTTGGTAGGATTAGTTACAGAATGCTGAGGCTGCAGGTGGGCTCAAATTTATGAGTTAGGTCCTGGAAGCATGGGGGGCAGGGCCCTTTCCCACCTGTGCTGACATAGAGCTTGTCAGGAAAGGAGAATTACGGCACATTTCTGTCATTCAGTTTTCTGTTTTCTTACATAAATGTTCACTTTGCTGGAAGAGCATTCCAACAAGCCCAGCGTGTCCTGAATGTTGATTATGAAACAGCAGTTACCAAGATCTGCCACCAGGTGGCAATGTAGTACCTGTGCTGTCCACACTGAAAATCCTTAACTACTACTACAGGTACTTATATAGAGCCATCAATTTACACAGCGCTTTACACATATATTGTACATTCACATCAGTCCCTAACCCTCAGGGGGTGTACAACTTTAACACTTTCCAAGTTCTTAACTATAGTAGCCTTAGGGCTCATGTACACTGCAGTTGCTAAACCGATGTTCAGGAGCTGTTCAGCACTTTTTTGCAGCAGCCGCTGAACTCTCCATAATGTTTTCCTATGTGTCCATGTACACATCGTTGTTTACAGTCGTTTACAGGCAGTAGAGTTTACAGTCATTTTTTTTAACGCACCAAACTTAAGTTCAGGAGTAGATTTTACCAGCCTTTCAAATGCCAAATGCTTGGAAACACGTGTAAACGCGGTTAACCACGTTTATAAGCGTTTGCGTTTAGAATCATTTTTTAACAGTTCGATATCCAGATGCTGTCCAGAGCCTTATTTCATCATCAGAAATGCATGCAAAGCGTTTTTCATGTATTCAAATGGACCTAGTACACCAGTGCAGTCAGTTCCAGGTTTCGAGTGAAGGAAAAAATGGCAGAACGTGCCGCATTATGATGGGATCCATAGTGAATACAACCAGCAGGTAATCTCAGCACATACTGCTCTGCTCTCTCTATTCCTCTCAAAATGTCTGAAATAGCTAATTTTTTTACTATTTTTCAGTGCATTCTGGGCATTTGGGAGGGTCTCCTGAGGTTATCTTTTAAAAACACTTCTGAAGGTAAACGTGCATAAACACGCATAAACGCAGTATGCAAATGCGGCTAAACTGACGTTTTATAACGTATGTTTTCAGCAGTCAGTTTCCATCATTCAGAAGAGTTTTCCAAACGCCCCGTGTACATCATGAGTCCTTAGACTAAAGCTGACCATATGTGGATTGAATTTCAACTCATGTACGGTCTATCTACTGATTGAAAATTTTGCTTTGATCAGCACATGCAGCCAATTGGCTGATCAGTGTATTCTGATGGTGGGGTGTCCCACTGTCAGAATACAACAATACACCTTGAAGGTGTTCTATGGTTGAACTGGATGGACTTTTGTCTTTTTTCAGCCAGACTAACTATGTAATTCTAGTGAGTCAAGAAGCAATGATTTAGCCAGCTGGCTGAGTGAAAAAACTGAACCGAGTATGGCCTGCTGTAACCACTATAGTGGACAACACTTTGCACTGCCTACCACAGTGGGTATAACCAACCAGGGGCGGACTGACCATTTGGAAACTTGGGCAGTGCCTGAGGGCCCGGGGTCAGTAGGGGGCCCCATGAGATGCCCATGGTACCTCTTTCATTGGCTTTTTTGGGTTTGGCAAGGACACAGGAGCCCCATGATCCCCTATTGCCCGGGGGCCCCGTGAGTTGTCAGTCCGCCCCTGCAACCAACCATGCTATATCAGCCTGTCCAATTTCATTTAATGAGATGACTGAAAGAGGAATTCAGATAGAAATTTATTTTTTCATTTATATAGTGCTGACATATTCTGCAGTGCTGTACAGAAAACATTGACCCATTCGCATCAGTCTCAGCACCACAAAAGCTTACACTCTAATATCCACCACAGTCACACACTATTATTATACATTTATATAGTATTAACATAATCTACAGTGCTGTGCAAAGCACACTGTATCAGCTTCATCAATCTGTGACAAAGGAGCTTACAATCTAATGTCCTCACCATAGTCATATACTATGACTAGGGCTTTCTGCTGCCCCCTAAAATGAGTTTAGATCATACTCACCTTTAAGAAGTTGAGCAGCATCTCCTTGAACTCATCCATGGAGGTTCCTCTGGTGGGTTTATCAAACAGGACCAGCTCCCTGCGGGGAGATGCATCTGGATTGCTCTCTGCTTTTAAATTTTCCTCGACTCCACACTTAATGATGACTTCTCGGTCCCTCCACAGCCCCCGGTAGACCTACAAATAGACACATTGTATATATTATCATGGTACATACAAATGACCATTAACTGTAAATCAAGACAATTCTATTTCACCCTAAACATTTCGTTATTGTGTTTAATTAAAGGATTAAAGGAAGGCAATTGGTCTTTTTTATCTTCTAGTTTCTCAGCCTCTGCTTTGTATTCCCAGGAGAAATTCCAGAAGGCCTGGAGAGACTGCATTCTATCCAGAATAATAGTTTACATTTTATGGTATGTTATAAATATGATTAAATATTTTCCCTTATTTAAAAACATGATTTCCGTTATAAAATATTTTATACACATTTGGAAACCAATAAAAATTTCTGACACTTCAGCAATGCTTTAATGTGACCCTCACCAAGAAATAACTAGACAAGTAAATCTTTTAATATAGCCAAGAGACAATTGAGGAGACACACTGATAAACCTTTCACAGGGTGAAAGCTAGGCAATTTCTGGGAGCTTTCTAAAGTATATACCTTTTATAGGCTTGCATTGTAGACAAATATTAAAAATTGCTTAAGTTTACACTAAAGGACAGAAATTGTCTGTCCTTTCTTGCTGTGCTGCTTTATTAACCATTTTTTATTATACATCCTATGTATATTTCACAGTGGCGCACAGAGAACAGTCTAGAAATCACATCAATCTCTGAACCAGAGGAGCTTACAATCTAAACAAAGTCACACACTATTATTATTATTATATAATTATATTATTTCGATAGCTTTGACATATGTAAATTGTAGAGTGAATGTACTTTTTAGGATTACACATAGGTTATGATCGTTTAAAAACAAAATAATTATATCTCAAATCTTCCATCGTCCTGATGAAGCGTTTGTTTTTTCCGTGAAACATGTTGAAGAACTTTGGATCCCCTTAATAGTTTAAATTCGGACATTAGGAACGACGTTATATGAGGCTTTACAGCCCTTTTGCATCCAGGAATGTATATAATGCTGAATAATGGGGACCCATTCATGTGGAGGAGAAAATATTTCGCCTATTGTAGATACTCACAATTATTCACATTGATGCTTCGATGTTAATAAATCTTGTTGTATTTAAAGTGGCTGTAAAGGCAGAAGGTTTTTTACCATGCTGTATTCTGTGTAGCAAGGTAAAAAACCTTCTGCATGCAGCTTCCCCTGCAGCCCACCCTAAATACATACTTGAGCCCAATTCTGATCCAATAATGTGCATGAGAGCAGATTCTCTCTCAACTCTCTGCCTCCTCATTGGCTCAGATACAGTAGCAGGAACCATTGGCTCCTGCTACTGTCAATCAAAGCCAGTGAGGAGGGGTGGGGCTGAGCACTGTTCTGTGTGTCTTATGGACACACAGAGCAGGAGTCGGGAGCGAGCGAACAATCGAGTTGCTATGGGGGCACTCAGCAGGGAAGAGCAGCCAGGAGGTGGGGGAACTGAGGAGAGGAGGATTGGGGCTAATCTGCAAAAACCACTGCACAGAGCAGGTAAGTACAACAAGTTTTTTTTTTTTTTGGAAAGGTCCCGATCTCCTCTTTTGATCGGGACCTTTCCCGATCATGTGTCCGCCGTGATGGCGTGTCACGGCGGTCACATGACCCTAAACCCCGCCTCTAGGCTTCTGAAACCCTTAAAGGACCGGGAGGCCAAGGGGTGAAATATGAACCTTTAATATCACTTTGAATAACATAATATACATAGTATGTATTACGTATTCCTTGGGTACCTAAACATTCCATTCACTCTACAATTTTCATATTTTTAGACATATTTTTGGATGTTGCACCTCCCTTGCACCTCAACCACAAACCATATTCTCAAGTTTAATAGCTCTGACATATTCTGCAGTGTTGTACAGAGAATACTAAACCATTCACATCAGCCTCTGCATCAGAGGAGCTTACATTCTAATGTCCCCAACACAATCACCCACTAATATTATTATTATAATACTTCCAAAAAGTTCTGACATTTCTGCAATGCTGTACAGAGCATGCACCATTTACATCCATCTCTGCAGCAGAGGAGCTTACGCTCTAATGCCCTGCCACAGTCACACACTATTATCATTATGCATTTATACAGCTCTGACATATTCTGCAGTTCTGTGCAGAGGACACTGAACCATTTACATCAGTCTCTGCACCAGGGGAGCTTACACTCTAATATCTCCACCACAGTTGGGCAACTTGTGCAAGTCAATTAACCTTCTAGGAGACAGAAAGAGAAAGGTTGCAGCACGCTGGCTATACACTTCAAGACTTTTGAACTCGCTTTTCTACAAACATTCACTGAAAACTTTCACAGTATATTTGATAGCATGACAAGTGTTCAAAAGTACTTCAAAAACATTTTCAGCTAACATTCAATTTTGGAGTGAATGGACTTTCCCAAACAAAAACTACATTCACTATTAGAAATCCATTTGGTTGATAACATTTCCATCCTGCTCCTTTAAATTTTCTTGTCACTGATCAAAAACGAACATCGATTTGACCTCACTAATGATTAGAAAATCGAAAGAACATTCTTAAAATGAACATGCCAGCTTAAGGCCTTATGCAGTTTTGGCTGAAAAAAAATGCCACTTTTACAAGCGTTTGGTGTTCTTGTTTCTGCCTGTGAATACACCTCTTTGTTAGTCTATGTATCCATGCACATAGGCATTTACAAGTGTATTAGAAGAGGAACATTTACAGGCAGAAAAAGTCCTCTTGCACACTGCTGCCTCAAAACGAGTTTTTAGGCAAACGTGTTGTTTTTTTTTTTTTACTGATGTAAATGCAAACTATTGTTTTCAAAGTGGCTGTACACACAGGTGCATAAAGGATGCACATAGATTCAAATAAAGCTAGAAGCATTTTTACATGTGTGTATACATACATACAAGTGCTATACAGCTCATCCTTGTGTTTTTCTGCCAGGAATGTTTGTTGTTACATCAGTACAGTGTGCAAGTACGCAAAAAAACCCCATTACATTACAGGAAAGGAGATTTGGGGAAAAAAGATGTGGAACACACATAAACGTGCCTAAACGCTAGACACATTTAAGCGCATTCGTACGTTAATGCATTTTAATACACAGAATGAATTAATATTCTGGCTCTTTAGAATTGAATGCATTAATGTGCATACGAGCAAATGTGCAAAAACACACACGTGCAATACAAGGCTTTTACAGTGCTTTTAGGCAGCTATTCTCCTGAGAAGAGAAATGGCGTTCAGAGTAGCTGAAAAACCACTCAGATGCCTCTGAGGACATCCAGTGGGAGGGGCGAAACGCATTAGTTACGGACCGTGGTGATGTCACTACCGGTGTTTGGAGCGCACAAGCAGTGTACTGCTTTCCAAGCTGGCGGTTATACCATTTTTACTCTGGAAACATGTGAGTGCAATATAGGTGTATCTACTTCTATTTAATAAACGGAATCACACTATTTGGATGCCTTTCTCCATTCTTTGTATGCACATATTCCACATTATGTTACCATGTCGGGATGATTGAGGATGACAAGCATCATTTAACCGCTTGCCACCCTGCCACTGTATATATACGTGTGCAGGGCGGCACTCAGGCGCAAAACCACGTTTTAAAACGGGTTACGCGCTCCCGACGTTTTTGCCGGCAGGGGGCGCGCGCGCGCTCCCGCCGACCCGCGGGTGACACCATTCGATCCCGGAGGGATCAATCATTAGATTTCAGCCAGTGATGTCTGGCTGAAATCAGATGATCGGTCCCTGTCCTATCCTGTCCTGTGTTGAAGTTTACACAGGACAGGATATGATGTCATTCTTCTCTGCCTGGACACATTCCGTTCCAGACAGAGAAGAAGAAACAGTAAAAGTGAGTAAAACACTACACATTTACAGTTAGAACACTCTAGGTCACATTTAACCCCCTGATCGCCCCCCCCCCAGTTAACCCCTTCACTGCCCTGTCACCAGTGTCACTGATCAGTGAATCGATTTTTACTGATCACTGTATCAGTGTCGCTGGCGACTTCCGATAGTGTTAGCGCCCCTCCCAGATAGCGCCAGTTTGCCCGCCCACCAGTACACCAGTAATCCCGTTTAACCCCCCTTAATCCCCCCCCCCCCCCAGTTAACCCCTTCACTGCCCTGTCACCAGTGTCACTGATCAGTGAACCGATTTTTACTGATCACTGTATCAGTGTCACTGGCGACTTCCGATAGTGTTAGCGCCCCTCCCAGATAGCACCAGATTGCCCGCCAGTACACCAGTAATCCCGTTTAACCCCTTGATTGCTCCCCCTAGTTAACCCCTTCACTGCCCTGTCCCAGTCACTGATCAGTGAATCGATTTTTACTGATCACTGTATCAGTGTCGCTGGCGACTTTCGATAGTGTTAGCGCCCCTCCCAGATAGTGCCAGTTTGCCCGCCAGTACACCCAGTAATCCCGTTTAACCCCTTGATCGCCCCCCCCCCCCCAGTTAACCCCTTCACTGCCCTGTCACCAGTGTCACTGATCAGTGAACCGATTTTTACAGATCAGTGTCGCTGGCGACTTCTGATAGGGTTAGCGCCCCTCCCAGATAGCGCCAGTTTGCCCGCTAGTACACCAGTAATCCAATTTAACCACTTAATCTCTCCCTCCCCCCCCCAGTTAACCCCTTCACTGCCTGTCACCAGTGTCATTGATCAGTGAACCGATTTTTACTGATCACTGTATCAGTGTCGCTGGCGACTTCCGATAGTGTTAGCGCCCCTCCCAGATAGCGCCAGATTTCCCGCTAATACACCAGTAATCCTGTCTAACCCCTTGATCGCCCCCCCCCCCCCCGAGTTAACCCCTTCACTGCCCTGTCACCAGTGTCATTGATCAGTGATCAGATTTTTACTGATCACTGTATCAGTGTCGCTGGCGACTTCCAATAGTGTTAGCGCCCCTCCCAGATAGCGCCAGTTTGCCCGCCAGAACACCAGTAATCCCATTTAACCCCTTGATCGCCCCCCACCCCCCTCAGTTAACCCCTTCACTGCCCTGTCACCAGTGTCGTTGATTACAGTGAACAGATTTTTACTGATCACTGTATTAGTGTCACTGGTGACTTCCGATAGTGTTAGCGCTCCTCCCATATAGCGCCAGTTTGCCCGCTAATGCACAGGATTTTTTTTTACCAAAAACATGTAGCAGAATATATTTTGGCTTAAATTTATGACTAACTTTGAGTTTGCGATATATTTTTTATAGCTGAAAGTAGAAAATATTGTTTTTTTTCAAAGTTTTTTTTTGTTTTTTTTGTTTATAGCGCAAAAAAAAAAAAAAGCGCACAGGTGATAAAATACCACCAAAAGAAAGCTCTATTTGTGTGAAAAAAAAGGATGTAAATTTCGTTTGGGTACAGCATTGCATGACCGCGCAATTATCATTTGAATTAGTGCAGTGCTGTATAGCAAAAAAAGGCATAAATTACAGTATCTATACCATAGTTTGTAGACGCTATAACTTTCACACAAAGCAATCAATATACACGTATTGGGATTTTTTTTTACCAAAAACATGTAGCAGAATACATTTTGGCTTAAATTTATGACTAACTTTGAGTTTACGATATATTTTTTATAGCTGAAAGTAGAAAATATTGTTTTTTTTAAAAATTTTTGTGATTTTTTTGTTTATAGCGCAAAAAATAAAAAGCGCACAGGTGATAAAATACCATCAAAAGAAAGCTCTATTTGTGTGAAAAAAAAAGGACATAAATTTTGTTTGGGTACAGCATTGCATGACCGCACAATTATCATTTGAATTAGTGCAGCGCCAAACAGCAAAAAAAGGCCTGGTCATTAAGGGGGGTAAATCCTCAGGAGCTCAAGTGGTTAAACCAGGAGAACTATAAGACCAAGCAAAACTCCACATGCCCCACCAAAGCGTAAATGACTCTTGTTTCAATATAAGAGTCCAATATAGCTGGTAAGTTAGTGGGCACCCAGGTGTGGAGCACAGAGCACGATTCACCTATTGTTTGTGGAAGAAGCACATGCACCAATTTATTATTTTCCCATCAAGGACTTTATTGATTTATTGCATTTATGTATAATGCTCATTTATTTCATGCCATTTCCTATTGTATTTGGGCAGCGCTTTTATATGTATGTTGTTTATTGGAGAAGGTTATTCCTTTATAGAAGCAGCAGCCTACCAATTCACTTTATCACTTTATTTTATTTAATTTTTTAAAATTGTTAAGTACACATTATTGGTTTATTTGTCCTGGGTGTAGGTTAACCACTATATATTGAAAAAACACTGTGTGTATGAGGCTTAAAGCCAGCCATACATGGATCAAAAATTCGTCTGGTTCAGCATGGACTGGTCGAATTTGCATCCATGTATGGACAGGGAGGTTGTACAGAAGTTGATCTACTGTATAACCACCGTGTTGGATTTTTGCCACTCTGATGGGGGGAAATCTCCAGGAATATTGATGTAGCACTCACCTAGATAGGCTGCTAAGATGTTAAGTAAATTTAGTTTCTTTTGGCTCCTCTGTAATCATTGCAGCAGCTGTTGATTTCTTTTGGCTGTTCTGGGTTTCACAGGTTGCAGGTTTGATTACTCTCCCCTGCCTTATGAAAACATCTGGAACATAGGAGGTTGAGCAAGGCAAATGGGCAGCATGAATATTTATTGTGTGGCAGCCAATCCCTGGGGAGGTGTGCCCAGTAGGTGGTTGAAGAGCACATATATAGTCTGAGGCCTGGAGCAGCTCTGTTCTAATCCTGGGTCTAACTCTGCATGAGGAGTCTCCAGACTAAGGGGCTCTGCCCCTCTGGGCAGAATGCTGGAGTCTGCTGCATGTTCTTCAAGGTCCCAGCTGTGGCATAGCTGGGCGGCCTACTTTATTTATTTTATTTCAGGTACTTATATAGCACTGTCAATTTAGGCAGCGCTTTACATATATATTGTACATGCACATCAGTCTCTAACTCTCAAGGAGTGTACAATCTAAGGTCCCTAACTCACATTCATCTTATCTTAAGTAAGGGCAGATAATTCATGCAGCTGTTACTTCCTGGAATCCATTTGTCCTTAGCTCAGGCATTGGCTGAGCTGAGAACCTTTTCTTCCCTCCTGTAGACTCCTGTGATGCATGCCATAATTTGCCTAGGCATGGAAACCAGGAAATGAATGAAGAAATGAAAAAAAGGTTAAAACAAGTAAATATGATATACTTTCATATCTATTGATTAATGCTAGCAGCATAAGGGTTAGAAATAGTCCATGTTGATTAAGAGAGTGAAGTTCCACTTTAAACTACAGCTGCTACTTTGGAGATAGTGCTACATTAAGAACAGAGAGGAGGCACAAGGTGCCTTGGGGTGCTTCAATAAGGCATTTACAACACATATCTGATGGGGTGGATATAGCTGGAGGCCTTGCACCAAATTCATTAAAAGCCTTCAGAAATTTATGCAGTTCTTATTTGCAACAATTTTGCTACTTGTTGCTATTGTTTTGACAGATTGATAAAGAAATACTGCCATATAAACGATAAGGTAACTTCTTCCAGGTTGGAGTAAAATTGGAGAGTCTGTGACAGATCTATGCACCAGTGGCGTCCTGAGGCAGATGCGGGGGGTGCGGCCCGCTCCAGGTGACACCTTACTGCACAGGGTGATACCGCACCTGCTCCACGAAAAGGTAAGTTGTAAAGCAAGCCGACGATCCCCGCAGGATGGATCTGATGCATCTTGTGGGGATCGTCGGCTTTCTTTGCAACTTACCTTTTCATGGAGCGGGTCCGGTGTCACCCCGTATAGGTTGCATGCCAACGATCCCTGCAGGATGGATCGGATTTGCAGATTGGGGAGCATAATGGATTGGAGTCCGATCCATTATGCTCAATCCGCAGATCCGATCCATCCTGTGGGGATCGTCGGAGGGGGTATCACCAAGTGTTATCGCACCGGGTGACACCAACCCTAGGGACGCCCCTGCTATGCACACTTACCCACATGTACACAAATCTATCCAAAGTTGAGCAATTGGTTGCATCTTCAAGAGGCAGATTTCTGAGTATCTCCAACATTCTCTGAGTTTCAGTTTGTTCCCCTTTCCTAGTAAACTGATAAGAGGAGCAGTGGCTGCCCTGGGACGTGGCCATGGATTGTACAGTACCTGGTGTGTGGGTGAGGAGGACAGGCACTGATGAAACACCAGCGTGTGGTCATCACATAGATCCTTGCAGGAGGAGCCGGAGATGATGCCTTTCTTGTACTGGTCACACTGCGGAGAGAGGAACACAAAGTCACACATCAGACAATGTTAAAACTGACTGCCCAGGCAACCTCCACAGATCACAGCAAAAACTTCATAGTCATTGTCACTTTAGACTGATTTCAGCAGAAATGATGTGTCCCCTTTATGTTGCTGAATAACCAGCAGTGGCAAATAAGTGGTTTCGGCAGTGAATTTTCCAATAGCCTAAGACTGCATCTGGTCACCAATTTGTGTCTGCACACCCCAAATAATAATTCATCAAGGCTGGATCCAGAATAGATTTAGTTACATTGTGATATCCCGATAGTCTGGACAAAACAGATCAAGCTGATAACCAAATCTGAACACAACGGTACGCTTCCAAATATGATATGCCTCCACGAGTATCATTTACAAAGCACACACAAAGGTATTGAAAAATTGATCTGATTATTTCCAATAAGATCACTTTCTTACTATATCTATAAGGCACATTTTAAAAAGACCAGAGACTGCTCAAATCCTAAGAAATTAAAGGACCAGTACACTCAAAAGTGATATTTTAGTTATAGGTGGAGCCTGATGAACTGAGTCAGCCCCTGGCTTCCTACATGTCTTGGATGCTCCAACAGCGAGATCTCCCTGACAAGTCCCCGACTCATATCCTAAAATGTGAGTCTATTCTAATTGACCTGTGGATTTTCCAACAGGTCGAGATGTCGAAAGGCCAATCACCAACCAATATGTAGAGGACAAAGGGGAAATAAACAGTTGGAAAAGTGAGACTGCAACTGCCTGTTTAAGGCTAATCTACATGGGAGATTTTATTATTACACCACTGAGCGATTTGACCTCTTGCTGGAGATAATGCCATCTGAATCACCTTCAAACCAGGGTGTTGCAAATGAGGTGAGCGCCAACAAGCAGTTAAATCGCTCAGCGGTGTGGAATGAGGATGAATGAAAATGCGTTTTTTCCATCGTCTCCAAGCCCCTCTCTGTCCTCCTCCCTCCTTTCTGCCAATTTCCCGCTGAAAGCTTCTAACAGACTCCAGTAAATAGATGAGTCCCAGCAGACGCCAGGTCAATACCATGTTATCAGTCCGTCTTTACCAGTAACCTCCATCTGACAGGCGGAGAACTACCTTAATTAAAACAGAGTGGCGGACGACTCACAACAAGACAGAAGCCGCAGTCTTTGAAATGCAAGCTTTGCAATGCACTCTTTTTTAATGGTATCACCAGTTTAGACCTGCCAAGAAATGCTCCAGGTTACACCGGTCAGAGATGGGTGACTTTCAGCACCAAGAGTTTTGCAGGGGTGTCTAACTGGTGGCCCTGCAGCTGTTGCGAAACTACAAGTCCCATCATGCCTCTGCCTTTAGGAGTCATGCTTGTAACTGTCAATTTTGCAATGCCTCATGGGACTTATAGTTTGGTAACAGCTGGAGGGCCGCTAGTTTGACACCCGTGCTGTAAGGCAAAGCCTTGCACTTAATGCACCCCACTATCATTTTATTTATAAAAAGTCCATGAATATCTCATGTGCAAAGTCCATGTCTTTAGATGGCCTGGTTAAAACTAGTGTGTGCTGTGCGGCCTGAGTCTGCGCGGGTACAGCAGCCCATTCATTTGAATAGGCTGCTATGCCCACGTTTCACGCAAGGAACATTTCCCAAAGCGCATGCGCACAGAAACCGCATGCATTTTGTGTGGTTCCCGCACCCATGATCATGCTTCGGGATGAGACGCTAGGCAGCCCCCTCATCTCACAAGAGAAATGCGATGTGGATGTGAGTGGTTGGGAGTGCAGGAACAGGTGAGATTCCTGAACACACAACCATCTCACAGCCACTGGACTAATGTGAACTAGGGGTAAAAATACAAAAAGCTCACAATATAAGAAATACAGAAATGTCATAAAAATCCCACTTGAGACTGAGCTCATTATTGCGCTGCCCAGAGCAGACTAATCCCTCTCATCCCTACTTCCATGACCATGTTGCAGCTTTTGGTGGACTTTGGCGCATTTACACTTGCTTTGCCTTTAATACACAATAAAGTGCCTACCGTTTCAATGTGCTTTTTTTCATGTGTTTTTTATGTTTCTGTGATGTGTTTTTGAAGCGTTAATGAAGCTTGGCAAATGCTGTATGTGTGTTGACTTTCTATTTGTTTTAAAGGAGCCCAATAAAATCCAGGCTCAGCAGTACTCCCCGATCAGCAGATCGCTAGCTCATTAGCACCCCTGTTCAGCAGATCCCCAGCTTATTTTTACCCTCATTCACTGAATCCCCTGCTCAGCAGTAACCACCGGCTCTGCTGATGCCCCCCCTCAGTAATAAACCCCAGCTTTGCTAATACTCCTCTCTCTTCGGTCCCCACTCACCTCCTGCTATATTGCTCCCACACTGCTCAACATATGTGACATCTGCTAGTTTCTCCTTCTTTGGTCCCCCAGCTCTGCTGATCTTTTGCCACTCAGTCCTCTCTTCCCTATCCCCACTTACCTTCCACTAAAGCGTTTCCATTTTGTACACCACATGTGCCGTCTACTAGTTGCTCTGCTCCAATCTGGACCCCACTCATCTTCCTGCTGCTCCTTGCTGCATACCACATGTGATATCTGCACCAGACTCTTCCAGAATATATACACATAATCCGGAAGTGACTGCTGATGATGTCTTTCCAGTTCGCTTGTTGGTTTCCCAGTGCATCCTGGGATATCTCATACCTGCAATACCTCCAAAATAAAGTGAAGTTAATTCTGAATAAAAGCCCCTTAAAAACTGCAGGTGCTATTAGCAAGCGATGTCATAGGCCCTTATGGAGGCTTTGCAGACACCAAGAAAGCGACATGAGCAGGGACAGACTGACAACTCATGGGGCCCCCGGGCAATAGGGGATCATGGGGCCCCTGTGTCCTTGCCCAAACTCAAAAAATCCTATGAAAAAGGTACCAGGAGCATCTCATGGGGCACCCTACTGACCCCAGGCCCTCGGGCAGTGCCCAAGTTTCCAAATGGTCAGTCCGCCCCTGGACATGAGGTATCATTTTTGACACTCTCTTTGTATCAACATGTGAGAATCATTATCACTGACATTTAGAGTAGAGGATGAAATAAAGATCAGATCAATGGAAAGAATTCTGGGAGGGAAATGGGTAAATTATATCTACATACAGTATCTCTACATCAGTACTAAAAGAGAGACTGTATGTGGAGGAGACAGTGAGGGACAAAGATCCAGAAGATTGAGAATTGTGAGTTGTGGAAGAAGTAGAGACTAGAATTCAATTCTGCAAGTGGTGTAAGATTTCAGGATAAGCATTTAATATTCAGCAAAGAGCTTGTGGAGTAAGGTAAAACAACCAATTATCTAACTCTCCTCTCCTAATCACACTATGTGCTACCGGAGGACTCTCTTCCCTTGAAATACGCTGCACTGCTGGAGGACTCTTCTCCTACTATCTAACGCTGGCCATAAATGAGCTGAAAATTGTTTTTAAAAATGTTCAAAACGCTTGATTGTTTTTGACTTTCTAAATGTTAGTGGGCTCATTTCGATTCTCAAAATGCAAAAATTTGTGGCAAAAAAACCAAACCGGCATGTCAGAATTTTGTAGTGTCAACAAAAGATTTTCGAGCTTGAGTAGTGGAAAAGATCAATAATAATACGAAAAATCGTACTAAAACATCAGCATGTGAAATCAATCAACAAAAAATGCAGCTTTTATGTTGTAAACGAATGACAATATATCATCAAGTGGGAGAAAAAAAAAAATTGTATCAATGATGGCGTAATCACATGCTCATTCGACTAATCTTTATCAAATTGGAACAAATTTTCAAGCAATTTTCTACCTATGGCCAGCTTATCTCTCCTCTCCTGAAATACTTTAACAGGAGGACTTTTCTCTATTTAACTCTCCTCTCCAGAAATACTCTGCCCTGCAGGAGGACTCTGCTCTTTCTACTTTTATGCAAAGCCAAGTCCTGAGTCCCTTTTCTCTGGTTGTGGTGGCAGTATGTACTGGTTTTGAAAACTTTGGATGCCAGTGGTTGTGTACTGATTATGCTGCAGGGTTTGAATTACACTAATGGAAAGGATCCATTCTGGCTCGATTCTCATTTTAAGACCTGCACATTATTCCTCTACAAGGGTTTTCCTACCCTGACGTGACCCTGACATGTTACCTGCAGAGTGGGAGCATTTGGGACAATGGACGCTTTGACTGACGCTGGGAATCGGCACAGAGAATGGTCACCAGACTTTGTTATGTTAATAGCACTAGTTGGGGGATTTTCTGACCTTTTCACGCCAATTTCAAACAATTCTGGCTTCAGACTGAGAACAAAAGCCACATTTTCTATAGAACAGACACTAAGCGCAGAACATAACATCACTGCAACCAAAAATGTAGATAGAGACATCTACAATGTATTGATTCATGTGCAGTGCACCTACACCAGTATGTAAATTGTGATATAAATGTTGCATATAAAATAGAAAGCTTTCACATCCATGTTTCAAAATTATTACAAATCTGCACTAACCACTAAACATGTCATAGCCCACAGTAGCTGCTTAAATAGCACGGTTAGTTCCACCCTTATGTTTCCCAAAATACAATCTCAGTTCAGGGTCGCTGCAGACAGACCATCTTGCTGTAGATCTACCATAAATCCATAAAGTAATAAAGGAAATACTAATATATTTTGTATATTTTCTCCTCCCCTCTATATAAAGCTCACGTAGTGTTTCACTTATATTTTTGAATGGAACTAGGGTGACAGCTGCCATCATTAAAGGACATGTTCACCAAAAATTTACATTTCAGTTATAGGTGTAGGTTGGTGGGCTCAGTCTCCCGCAGGCATCTTATATTTCATGGAGACTCTTGTGATTTGATCTTTCTGCCATATCTGGCTCTCTTCCTTTTCACCTCAGAGCTTTGGATGTTCCAGCTCCTCCTGATACCTGCTCCATAATAATAGTAAATACAAAATCCAGCAGAGATGATGGGAACCTTGCATAATGAGCACAGCAGGTGTGCAGAACCAGGAAAAAAAGCACAAAGATTCCACTGGCCCCTGAACTCTCCAGCTTCTACCAAAAGCTAAAATTTTAGTTTTGAGTGATCTGATATAGAATTTGTTCAAATATTAACAGTGCAATTACTAAATAGGGAAGT